TTAAGACGCGAGGACGGGAATCACGGACATAACACCTAATCAATAAACTTTTCAAATTACATGTAATCCTATAACATATAGGGTTAAGACAATGCATATGTGTTTGGTTTGATTTTTTTCTGGATATTGCTGGAATGTAAAACATAGCTAGGTCATTCACTCACTCACCCTCTAAGGGATAAGCTTTTTTTACATTCAGTGGTCTATTTGTCATGCACATATAATGAATGGCGCAGTGGTACAGTGTCTACCCCTTATGCCGAAGAACCAGGTTCGAGTCTCCCCTAGCAAAGTGCATGAAATCCATAATTGATTTTTCTAGTCATGTTGCTGGAACATTGCTAATGTTCCTATTTTTGACCATGTGTTGGCCGTCAGTTATCACTCATGTGTTTGACACAGGGTGGGCAGTGAACGTCCCACCCACGTGGGTGCACAAGGTGCGATAACGGTACCCCCCGCCCAGGGGGTAAGGCCAGGTGCGTCACTTACACCAACAAGTAAACCGTCGTGACCTTGGCTATCTCTCTGACCTCACGGATGAATATGTACAAACGACGATACGATTCTGAACATTCGGAATTAACCATCGGATATACATATACGCTCGGTTTTGTTTGATCTTCTGATTAAACACACCAATAGGACGACAAAAACATTCCCATCCTTGTCCGCTGTTTGCAGATGAGAATAAAACAAGCTTCGTGAAAGAGACAGCTGATCCTGTTTGCCGATATTGTAGTGTTTTCCTTACTATGCAAGTTGTCCATCGGCTTACATGATGGCGTGGGTTGATGTAACCGCTGTGTTATTTGTAAAGTCATATGACCTAACTATATATTGCAGGCAGTGTGCGAAATAGCCACTGGCACGCTAGGCCGAGGCTAGTAAAAAAGTCAGTCGGGCCAGTAAATTCTCCACAGTCACTAGCCCGACTAGCTCTTCATGGGGTCATTTTGTACATATATCACTCTCTCCGACTTGTTAAGATATAACACACTTTAAATCATGCAATATTGTGGCCTGATAAAAATGTTCATCATATTAGAAGCTTAATGAAACACGTGTCATGCCGACAATATCTTATCTTCATTTATTTTTGTAATCTTTTGTTTAGTTTCTACATTCAAATTTCGGGCTAGTGAATTATTTTGTGGGCTAGCACCTTTCAGGCTTAGTAAGCCCGATTGGCTAGCAAACTTTAGAAACTATTTCCCATACTGATTGCAGGTATGGCCTGTTTTAGCCAGAATCTGTAAGACTACTACAGTTTGGCATTTATCCATTTTCTTACATTTAAAACGATAGCAGAAAAACAACAAAAACTTATTCCCCCTAAATCTAAACATCGTAAATATCCAGAGAATGGTGTTTCACACGAGCAATTCCAAAAATTGCTTTTGACATCATGTAAATCTAGAATGCCAACAGTTCAACGGTTCGAGCGGGGACAGAAAAATGTGCCTCATATGTTTGTGGGGTACATTGAAGATTATAGATTGTGTCAGACATTGTGTCATTCTCCCGATGAGCAGTAGCAGCGGACAGTCAGATACACATTGTGCTGAATATCATAAGCTGTATTAAAATAAGCTGTTAAAATGTATACACGTGTACACAATACAATGTTAGAGAACTAAGAGAGACTATGTTATATGTAGTATGAAAAATACCTTTTCTTCGGATGAAAGTGAGTGAGTTTAGGTTTACGCCGCTTTTAGCAATAGTCCAGCAGGGGGTCACCAGAAATGGGCTTCACACATTGTACCTATATGGGGAATCGAACCCGGGCCTTCTACGTGACAAGCGAACGCAGTAACCACTAGGCAACCCCACCCGCCCTTTCGCATGAAAGTAAACATATCTGTTTAGAATATGCACAATAACATTCACCAAATATAAGGCATAAAATATACGTATTTCTCAATAATACTTCAATAGTATATGATAACGTTAACACACCTACTTTCATTTCACACTGGCTCTATCGTTTTACTGTGGTGTATTTTGTATAGGCAATTCTCTGCATGTAATCTTATATGGCCACAGTTTCTCGTATTTCTCTGTTGCAAGGGCATAGGATTTAGTCTTGATGGGAGTTTTATGTTTTATAATTTCCTGCTATTGTATGTTTTACGGTAATAAAGGTTTGTAATATGTCTTGAACACGCATGGTAAGACGTTCATAAATTAGTGTCTGAATGCCTGTCTGCGTGTCTCTCTTCCTGTCTGACTTGTAGTTATGTCTACAAAATGATAACTTCTCATCCCCTTCCGTAATATCTAAGAACATTTGCATTCAGTGCGCTCCTGAGATTTCGTCATAAGATAATTGTGTACTACTCAACCGTGCATTCAAGGAGAAATGACTGTGAGACCATCGCTTTGGAATGCAGGCAATTAAAGGTGAACATAGGCCATACCTGTCACTACTAACTAGACAGTGTTTGGGAACATGTGTATGAAATGTGGACAATGTACTTATAGTGGGAGTATGACATAAATAACTGTAGCATGCAGGCTTATAATCAGTTTATAATCTAATAATGCTCACTGAGGGCTGGATTGAGTATTTGTCCAGTTATCGAAGTGGACTATTGAGTGAATGAGTTTAGTTTTACGCCGCACTCAGCAATATTCCAGCTATACGGCGGCGGCCTGTTCAAAATGGAGTCTGGACCAGACAATCCAGTGATCCACAGCATGAGCATCGATCTGCCCAACTGAGAACCGATAACATGTGTCAACCAAGTCAGCGAGCCTGACCACCCGATCCCGTTAGTCGCCTCTTACGACAAGCATGGGTTACTTAAGATTCATTCTAACCCGGACCTTCACGGGTACGTCAAGGGTGAAGAGGAGATGGTCACGTAATGAGAATTCACAGCAACGTCACGTGACTCTTTGAGTCTAGGTAACACTAAACGTCTTGGTTTTGAACAAACAATATTGCACTCGCAATCGACATTATTTTGGCTTCCGTTTACCACCTATTTTATGCGTGGTGTCATACCTGTAGCTTCTTTAATAAAGTCATCCTTTCGCGAAGGATGCATGAGTGAGTTTTAGTTTTACGCCGCTTTTAGCCATATTCCAGCAATATCACGGCGGGGGACACCATTGTAACACATTGTACCCATGTCGGGAATAGACCCGGGTCTTCGGCGTGACGAACAAACGCTTTAACCGCTAGGCAACATTATCGCCCCTCGCGAAGGATGAAGCGACTTTGAACGAACAATCACAAAATATTCACATGTTGAAGAGAACCAGGCCCATGCTAATATTCGATCATCGGTTTGTTTCCGTGTCCTCAGTGAGTGAGTTGGGTTTAGGCAGTGTCCAACTGTATTCCTGTGTTATGTCGGCTTGTCAGTTTAATTAAAAGGGGGACCTGAGGGATGAATGATTGAGACGCTAACTGCTTCGGTGAAAGCCACGAGGACGGACATGGTGGATATAAACCTAAAAACAATCTCGGCGAACCGAGATTCGAACCCATCATCACAGATTTCTGGCGTTCAAAATCGAAGCAAATGTGCAATGCGAAATACAGCGCTTTAGACGACTGGGTGACCAATCCACCCTTTTATGCCTAGAAGATAACATACAACTCACTGTTAAAATCGTTTCCCTCGCACAGTCCAAAACTAAAAACGACTTTATATTTAAATTTCATCGCCACCCTGACTTTGCATGTGAATTGTGATTGATATAATTGTTTCGTTTCTGTCAATATTATCGGACCATGTCTACTGCCTTTTAAGTGTATTTTACTCTCAGAAGTTGCGTATTTGTTCCACCGTTGGGCCTTCTCATGAAGCAACACAAAAACAACAATATGTAATACCTAAAGCAAGTAAGTTGGCTCTAAGGCCACTTCAGACGTATGTCTGCCTGTGTAGTATGAAAGCACAGAGTGAAGCAGGTTGGAGACGTTCTTCATCTTGGGGAACCCGTGAAGTTTGGTGCTGACGGACCAGTGGTCAACATAAGGAAAAACTGGTAGTGGAACACATCTTGGCTTCTGATACATCTTCAGAGCCAATAGATCATCCATGTCCAGTCTAATTTGTTTGTTTGTTTGTTTGTTTGTTTAACGCTACATTCAGCAATATTCCAGCTATATGGCGGCGGTCTGTAAATAATCGAGTCTGGACCAGACAATCCAGTGATTAACAGCATGAGCATCGATCTACGCGAAATGTGTACGATGACATGTGTCAACCAAGTCAGCGAGCCTCACAGTCCGATCCCGTTCTAATCGTCCCGATCGTCGCTTCTAAAGACAAGCATGGGTTGCTGTAGACCCGGATCTTCACGGGCATCCAGTTTAGTATAAAAACACCTTAGCAGTTTTCTGTCTCGGTATCACACCTGACTGGGCACAGTAACAAGTGTCGTCATGGCTATGCAAACTGCAAAAGAAAGCATATAAACTTGAAAACTTGATTTCACCAAAAAGTTACAATCGTTATCAAAAAGTTACTCGGCAGAAAAAATTGTATGATTAAATTCATCAATATGTCACATTATGTTATATTTGGGATTACACTATCACAGTAAAGTACAGATTCTAGTACTTTTGTTGGGTTGAGTCACATCCGGGATTCCAACCCACAACCTCAGAGTCACTTTGCGTCCTGGCGATTAGGTGCTCAAAATATCCCGGATGGGATTCAGCCCAATAAAAGAACTAGAATCTGTACTTTACTGAGCAAGTGTAATCCCAAAAATAACATGTGTTACATTTGACCACTTTCTAAATGGCATTGTGCATTCAAAAACATCACTATGGAATAGCCTTTCCTTGTTGACTTTATGTTCAGCTGCAGGGGTGTATGTTTTGTGTGTCCGGCATTGTATTTCGGCATTACAACAGAAATGACACCGTCTCTACCACGAACCCTGAGCACGATCATCACCTCAGGTCGCGTCCTCGGCTGAATAGAAAGAATAACACATGACTAGCCATGCATAGTCCGCCTTTGAACAGAATTGAGTCACGTGGTCCTTCTCAGATGGTAGGCTGACCTACCTGCGTTTGTTACATGAACGTTTCGACAGGACCCAGTGAAGCCTTCTCTACAACATGGCCCAAACGGAGTGCAACGTCGGCATTGTGATAGGCGTGATTTCGTCCATCCTTGTAGCTGCCGGTCTCGGGGCTACTCTGTATGTCACCACAACCGGCAGCGGCAGCAACGGGAACTCCACCATTACAAGATCCACAACTCCGTCTACAACCACAGGGTAAGATGAAAGTTCCCCAATCACTCACTCAGGGTCATGCTTCATTCGCTGGCTCTGCGGTCTGTTAAGTATTGGAGTTATTGTACTGTCGTATTCAATAATACTAGACTCATGTGCAGTACTAATTACTAAATGCTATGAAGGTAGTATTAATGTGCGCCGCAACGCGATTTTGAAATAGAACAAAACAACATTATTTATGTATGTGCAATTACATGTGAGTTTGTAAACTTTAAACTGCCATATGCGTACATAAACTTTAATGTGCTGCCATTGTATATTGACATTAACTAATGTGACATTAAACCCTAATGATACATTAAATCCTTAATGCGTCATTAGTTAATGGCACGTTAATGCTTCATTAAAGTTTGATACAACCGGTCCTGGTCCCTGCCCTGTGGGATATCGAATAATCGAGTTATCCGTATTTCGAGGCAATCAGCGTATGATGTTAGATCCCATAGTGTACCCACGATTCTGCCGAGACCAGGAAGTGTCGACATTTTCTAAAGATGACGGAGAGGGATGAGAGTCATATTTAAATATATGTTGAATGATAATGCAGATGCCTTGTAATGCTTGTTTAAAAAACGACATGCCAATCCTTTCTGTAAACACGATGTAATATAATCGTGTGTGTACTGTGACTCGAGGTACATGCATGTAAACACCACACCACTGTGTACACAGACATGGTTGGCTGCACACTACCAGGACGTTTAAACTGCGTGAGAAATACAATGTAGGTAATAGGAATGTAAAGAACGTCAGTTTCAAGCGTCACGTGACAAAGACAAATATATACTTCACATCATGCCGATACATTCTTGTCTTTTTCATGTCCTTTATAGCAAGACAAAGAAAACAATACATTTGACTTCAACCATATTTATTCGTCGTCTTTTCGTCGTGAGATGTAACTTCAGGTGTAAAATGATATTAACAAAGAAGTTTTGGACTGATGTTCTTCTAGTTAAATGTGACTGACTTGTACATCAGTATGTTTAGCATGTGTTCGGAAATCGAGTAAATTACGTTTCATATCAACACCTTACATCTTCATCAGGTCTATGCTTCGTGACTATCTCCCTTCCGTTTAGTAGCAACCCCTTACATCTTCATCAGGTCTGTGCTCCGTGACTATCTCCCTTCCGTTTCGTGGTAAACCCTTACATCTTCATCAGGTCTATGCTTCATGACTATCTCCCTTTTTGTGTTTCGTGGTAACCCTTTACATCTTCATCAGGTCTATGCTTCGTGACTATCTCCCTTCCGTTCCATATCAACCCCTTACATCTTCATCAGGTCTATGTTCCGTGACTATCTCCCTTCCGTTTCTTGTGGCAACCCCTTACATCTTCATCAGGTCTATGCTCCGTGACTATCTCCCTTCCGTTTCATATCAACCCCTTACATCTTCATCAGGTCTATGCTTCGTGACTATCTCCCTTCCGTTTCATATCAACCCCTTACATCTTCATCAGGTCTATGCTTCCTGACTATCTCCCTTCCGTTTAATATCAACCCCTTACATCTTCATCAGGTCTATGCTTCCTGACTATCTCCCTTCCGTTTCATATCAACCCCTTACATCTTCATCAGGTCTATGCTTCCTGACTATCTCCCTTCCGTTTCATATCAACCCCTTACATCTTCATCAGGTCTATGCTTCGTGACTATCTCCCTTCCGTTTCATATCAACCCCCTTACATCTTCATCAGGTCTATGCTTCGTGACTATCTCCCTTCCGTTTCGTATCAACCCCTTACATCTTCATCAGGTCTATGCTTCGTGACTATCTCCTTCCGTTTTAATATCAACCCCTTACATCTTCATCAGGTCTATGCTTCGTGACTATCTCCCTTCCGTTTCATATCAACCCCTTACATCTTCATCAGGTCTATGCTTCCGTGACTATCTCCCTACCGTTTTATATCAACCCCTTACATCTTCATCAGGTCTATGTTCCGTGACTATCTCCCTTCCATTTCGTGGTAAACCCTTACATCTTCATCAGGTCTATGCTTCCTGACTATCTCCCTTCCGTTTCGTGTCAACCCCTTACATCTTCATCAGGTCTATGCTTCCTGACTATCTCCCTTCCGTTTTGTGTCAACCCCTTACATCATCTTCATCAGGTCTATGCTTCGTGACTATCTCCCTTCCGTTTTGTGGCAACCCCTTACATCTTCATCAGGTCTATGCTTCGTGACTATCTCCCTTCCGTTTTGTGGCAACCCCTTACATCTTCATCAGGTCTATGCTTCGTGACTATCTCCCTTCCGTTTCGTGGTAACCCCTTACATCTTCATCAGGTCTATGCTTCCTGACTATCTCCCTTCCGTTTTGTGACAACCCCTTACATCTTCATCAGGTCTATGCTCCGTGACTATCTCCCTTCCGTTTCATATCAACCCCTTACATCTTCATCAGGTCTATGCTTCGTGACTATCTCCCTTCCGTTTCATATCAACCCCTTACATCTTCATCAGGTCTATGCTTCGTGACTATCTCCCTTCCGTTTCGTGGCAACCCCTTACATCTTCATCAGGTCTATGCTTCCGTGACTATCTCCCTTCCGTTTTGTGGCAACCCCTTACATCTTCATCAGGTCTATGCTTCGTGACTATCTCCCTTCCGTTTCGTGGCAACCCCTTACATCTTCATCAGGTCTATGCTTCGTGACTATCTCCCTTCCGTTTCATATCAACCCCTTACATCTTCATCAGGTCTATGCTTCGTGACTATCTCAACCCCTTCCGTTCAGGTCATGACTATCTCCTTCCGTTTTGTCAACCCCTTACATCTTCATCAGGTCTATGCTTCGTGACTATCTCCCTTCCGTTTCATATCAACCCCTTACATCTTCATCAGGTCTATGCTTCGTGACTATCTCCCTTCCGTTTTCATATCAACCCCTTACATCTTCATCAGGTCTATGCTTCCGTGACTATCTCCCTTCCGTTTTAATCGTCAACAACCCTTACATCTTCATCAGGTCTATGCTTCGTGACTATCTCCCTTCCGTTTCATATCAACCCCTTTACATCTTCATCAGGTCTATGCTTCCGTGACTATCTCCCTTCCGTTTCATATCAACCCCTTACATCTTCATCAGGTCTATGCTTCGTGACTATCTCCCTTCCGTTTCGTATCAACCCCTTACATCTTCATCAGGTCTATGCTTCGTGACTATCTCCCTTCCGTTTCGTGGCAACCCCTTACATCTTCATCAGGTCTATGCTTCGTGACTATCTCCCTTCCGTTTTGTATCAACCCCTTACATCTTCATCAGGTCTATGCTTCGTGACTATCTCCCTTCCGTTTCGTATCAACCCCTTACATCTTCATCAGGTCTATGCTTCGTGACTATCTCCCTTCCGTTTCGTGGCAACCCCTTACATCTTCATCAGGTCTATGCTTCGTGACTATCTCCCTTCCGTTTCATATCAACCCCTTACATCTTCATCAGGTCTATGCTCCGTGACTATCTCCTTCCGTTTCATTCGTGGTAAACCCTTACATCTTCATCAGGTCTATGCTTCCGTGACTATCTCCCTTCCGTTTCGTGGTAACCCCTTACATCTTCATCAGGTCTATGCTTCGTGACTATCTCCCTTCCGTTTCTGTGGTCAACCCCTTACATCTTCATCAGGTCTATGCTTCGTGACTATCTCCCTTCCGTTTCGTGGCAACCCCTTACATCTTCATCAGGTCTATGCTTCGTGACTATCTCCCTTCCGTTCTGTGGCAACCCCTTACATCTTCATCAGGTCTATGCTTCCGTGACTATCTCCCTTCCGTTTGTGGCAACCCCTTACATCTTCATCAGGTCTATGCTTCGTGACTATCTCATCCTTCCGTTTCATATCAACCCCTTACATCTTCATCAGGTCTATGCTTCGTGACTATCTCCCTTCCGTTTCGTATCAACCCCTTACATCTTCATCAGGTCTATGCTTCGTGACTATCTCCTTCCGTTTCATGGCAACCCTTACATCTTCATCAGGTCTATGCTTCGTGACTATCTCCCTTCCGTTTCGTGGTAACCCCTTACATCTTCATCAGGTCTATGCTTCGTGACTATCTCCCCCTTCGTTTCATTGTCATCAACCCTTACATCTTCATCAGGTCTATGCTTCGTGACTATCTCCCTTCCGTTTCATATCAACCCCTTACATCTTCATCAGGTCTATGCTTCGTGACTATCTCCCTTCCGTTTCGTCATCAACCCTTACATCTTCATCAGGTCTATGCTCCGTGACTATCTCTCCCTTCCGTTTCATATCAACCCCTTACATCTTCATCAGGTCTATGCTTCGTGACTATCTCCCTTCCGTTTCGTGCATATCAACCCTTACATCTTCATCAGGTCTATGCTTCCGTGACTATCTCCCTTCCGTTTCGTCTTTGTCAACCCCTTACATCTTCATCAGGTCTATGCTTCGTGACTATCTCCCTTCCGTTTTGTGGCAACCCCTTACATCTTCATCAGGTCTATGCTTCGTGACTATCTCCTTCCGTTTCATATCAACCCTTACATCTTCATCAGGTCTATGCTTCGTGTGACTATCTCCCTTCCGTTTCATATCAACCCTTACATCTTCATCAGGTCTATGCTTCGTGACTATCTCCCTTCCGTTTTGTGGCAACCCCTTACATCTTCATCAGGTCTATGCTTCGTGACTATCTCCCTTCCGTTTCGTGGCAACCCCTTACATCTTCATCAGGTCTATGCTTCGTGACTATCTCCCTTCCGTTTCGTGGCAACCCCTTACATCTTCATCAGGTCTATGCTTCGTGACTATCTCCCTTCCGTTTTGTGGCAACCCCTTACATCTTCATCAGGTCTATGCTTCCGTGACTATCTCCTTCCGTTTCATCGTGTCAACCCTTACATCTTCATCAGGTCTATGCTTCGTGACTATCTCCCTTCCGTTTCATATCAACCCCTTACATCTTCATCAGGTCTATGCTTCGTGACTATCTCCCTTCCGTTTCATATCAACCCCTTACATCTTCATCAGGTCTATGCTTCGTGACTATCTCCCTTCCGTTTCATATCAACCCCTTTACATCTTCATCAGGTCTATGCTTCGTGACTATCTCCCTTCCGTTTCATATCAACCCCTTACATCTTCATCAGGTCTATGCTTCGTGACTATCTCCCTTCCGTTTCGTATCAACCCCTTACATCTTCATCAGGTCTATGCTTCGTGACTATCTCCCTTCCGTTTCTGTATCAACCCCTTACATCTTCATCAGGTCTATGCTTCGTGACTATCTCCCTTCCGTTTCATATCAACCCCTTACATCTTCATCAGGTCTATGCTTCCTGACTATCTCCCTTCCGTTTCGTGTCAACCCCTTACATCTTCATCAGGTCTATGCTTCGTGACTATCTCCCTTCCGTTTCATATCAACCCCTTACATCTTCATCAGGTCTATGCTTCGTGACTATCTCCCTTCCGTTTCATATCAACCCCTTACATCTTCATCAGGTCTATGCTTCGTGACTATCTCCCTTCCGTTTCATATCAACCCCTTACATCTTCATCAGGTCTATGCTTCCTGACTATCTCCCTTCCGTTTCATATCAACCCCTTACATCTTCATCAGGTCTATGCTTCCGTGACTATCTCCCTTCCGTTTCATATCAACCCTTTACATCTTCATCTTCACTGTCTCCTTCCAGGTCTATGCTTCATCTTCTATCTATGCTTCCTATCTCCCTTCCGTTTCATATCAACCCCCTTACATCTTCATCAGGTCTATGCTTCGTGACTATCTCTCCTTCCGTTTCATATCAACCCTTACATCTTCATCAGGTCTATGCTCCGTGACTATCTCCTTCTTCCTTCGTGGTAAACCCTTACATCTTCATCAGGTCTATGCTTCGTGACTATCTCCCTTCCGTTTCTCGTATCAACCCCTTACATCTTCATCAGGTCTATGCTTCGTGACTATCTCCCTTCCGTTTCATATCAACCCCTTACATCTTCATCAGGTCTATGCTTCGTGACTATCTCCCTTCCGTTTCGTGGCAACCCCTTACATCTTCATCAGGTCTATGCTTCGTGACTATCTCCCTTCCGTTTTGTGGCAATCCCCTATGCTCCGTACATCTTCATCAGGTCTATGCTTCGTGACTATCTCCCTTCCGTTTCGTGGCAACCCCTTACATCTTCATCAGGTCTATGCTTCGTGACTATCTCCCTTCCGTTTCGTGGCAACCCCTTACATCTTCATCAGGTCTATGCTTCGTGACTATCTCCCTTCCGTTTTGTGGCAACCCCTTACATCTTCATCAGGTCTATGCTTCGTGACTATCTCCCTTCCGTTTCATATCAACCCCTTACATCTTCATCAGGTCTATGCTTCGTGACTATCTCCCTTCCGTTTCGTGGTAACCCCTTACATCTTCATCAGGTCTATGCTTCGTGACTATCTCCCTTCCGTTTTGTGGCAACCCCTTACATCTTCATCAGGTCTATGCTTCGTGACTATCTCCCTTCCGTTTCATGGTAACCCCTTACATCTTCATCAGGTCTATGCTTCGTGACTATCTCCCTTCCGTTTCGTGACAACCCCTTACATCTTCATCAGGTCTATGCTCCGTGACTACCTCCCTTCCGTTTCGTGGTAACCCCTTACATCTTCATCAGGTCTATGCTTCGTGACTATCTCCCTTCCGTTTCGTGACAACCCCTTACATCTTCATCAGGTCTATGCTCCGTGACTATCTCCCTTCCGTTTCGTGGTAACCCCTTACATCTTCATCAGGTCTATGCTTCCTGACTATCTCCCTTCCGTTTTGTGGCAACCCCTTACATCTTCATCAGGTCTATGCTTCGTGACTATCTCCCTTCCGTTTCATGGTAACCCCTTACATCTTCATCAGGTCTATGCTCCGTGACTATCTCCCTTCCGTTTCGTGGTAACCCCTTACATCTTCATCGGGTCTATGCTTCCTGACTATCTCCCTTCCGTTTCATGGTAACCCCTTACATCTTCATCAGGTCTATGCTCCGTGACTATCTCCCTTCCGTTTCGTGACAACCCCTTACATCTTCATCAGGTCTATGCTCCGTGACTACCTCCCTTCCGTTTCGTGACAACCCCTTACATCTTCATCAGGTCTATGCTTCGTGACTATCTCCCTTCCGTTTCGTGACAACCCCTTACATCTTCATCAGGTCTATGCTTCGTGATTATCTCCCTTCCGTTTCGTGACAACCCCTTACATCTTCATCAGGTCTATGCTTCGTGACTACTTCCCATCCCTACCTCGGGTTAACAACGTTGCATAGATTCCTCTAACGTTTTCCACAGGATAACATGATTGTTCAGTGGCTACCTAGCTCCCCTTCATTTGGTTAACAAAGTCTCGTGGATATCTCCAGGTTAACACGTTATATTTTTAGCCATATCTTGCCCTTTATCAGGTTAACAATGTTTACACTCTAGTGCATTCCATAGGTTAACATGCCACTTCACCTGGTTAATGATAACAATACATTTGTAGAGCGCCTATCTCTTGACGCTTCATCGGCTTTCCCAAAGTCTCTTGTCTACCCATCACCTCTTCATCTGGTTACCAATGTTTCTTGTCTAATCCTTGCCTCTTCAACTGGTTACCAACTTTTCTTGTCCTTTCAACGTTTATCCAATGTCAGAACCATCGCTTAAGCCTCTTCTCTCATGTGTACGGAAATGTTGTTAAGCAGAAAAAATGTGCTTTTATGTTCTCTCAACTACAAAAAAAGCCAATTAAAATCTTCATACGTTTGTGTTTTCCGCAAAGATAAGATGAGTTCACCCATGCCTGTTTCAGGAACGTCTACATGACGCCATGTGGGGTCTGTGGTCCCGAGATCGATGTTGCAATCACCATACAGAACTTCATAGTGAAACCCTTCTTCAATCATACCATTGAATTGTTCGGCATGAGACAACAAGTGCTCATCTTCTTCATGGAGAAGGCAGCGAAAAAGCAAACGGAATTCAGGTAAACGTTTGATGTAATATGTATAAGTCACAATATATTGTAAACATGTGCAACACTTACCACTTTTTGTTGCCCTTTCAATTTGGATTTGAGCAAGAGAGTGCGTTGGTTTGAATGGCGGCTAGAATAGTACATGTATTTCAGTTTTGTAAATTGCCCAAATAAAGAAATTTATACCCATCTTTGATGGTTGCTTAATCTTAAACAACTGAATGGTTGTCCAAGATATTTTTATGGATTAAACTTCTTTTTTAATTTCTCTCACGACGTTTCGAGACCATTCCAGGTCCCTTCATCAGGTGAACTGGCAGTTAGGACTATGACGTCGTGAGAGAAATTAAAAAAGAAGTTTAATCCATAAAAATATCTTGGACATCAATGTACAACTTCTAAATGCCACTGAAAGACATCAACTGAATGGTTGTTCAAAGATATTTGATCATTGCGTGTATCAGGTCATCATACTATATCATCGCGTTTTGGGCCTACAGTTTGTAGTTTTTTCGGTAACCATTTTCAGTCTTTGATAACGTTGTCTATATGTTTGGTCAAATCCACTTTTGAAGTATATGCTGCTATCTTATGTCAGGGCCTGTCATCTTATGGATTGAAATCTCAATAAAGACTCAGGTCGTTTATATTTATGGGGATATCTTGACGTGCATGATGCTCACAAAACAACCAGTAATCGACACCACACAGTTGGTGCTCGTCAGTCCAAGGGACACAACTCTGCACTATCATTGGTGGCTTTTTACTACCGGGTCACTCGTTCCACACTAGGAGTGAGTGAGTTTAGTTTTACGCCGCACTCAGCAATATTCCAGCTATATGGCGGTGGTCTGTAAATAATCGAGTCAGGACCAGACAATCCAGTGATCCACAGCATGCATGAACATCGAACTACGCAATTGGGATACGATGACATGTGTCAACCAAGTCAGCGAGTCTGACAACCCGATCCCGTTAGTCGCCTGTCACGACAAGCAAGGGTTACTGAGGATCAATTCTTTCCCGGATCTTCTCGGGTCTCCACAATAGGAACGGGAACATTCGCACAGATATGGCGACCAATGCTGTTTCACTCTTAAATATTGCTCCTAGAAGTAACAAAATCTGGATATGGACAGAAATATAGGAACCTGACGTATATGAATTGCAGTAAGTGTAGTCAGTTTCATTAACAAACTAGGACAATAATTTTAAAAGCTGTTGGTTTATACACAGCTATAAGGTATTGTAATACTCTTTATTCTCTCAATGCATTTCAGTGTCGAAGAAAGGAAATAATCCGTATTACCCTGTTTTTATACAAACTGTTGGAATGATGTAGGTTTGCTGGGAAGTACGGAGCGTACGGCTTTCTTGTGGAAACCATCAATGGCCTGACGTCCAACTACAATCTCAACAAGACGTGGTGGCAAATCATAGATCAGGACATGGCGATGCTCAACGAAGGTAAGGAGTCTCTATCAAACCATGGGTAGTGGGTGCCGGGAAATACACTAGGAAGGTTGAATTAGTGTATACATTCCCTGCGGCTATGTTCAGCTCATGATAATAATAATTCATTTATATAGCGCCTAGTATCCATCTGACTAGTTGCTCACTGGACGCTGTCTGTTCTAGAATGTTAAATCTGACTTATCTACCGGGTACTCATTTTCTGCTGGGTGTGATTATTATTACCCCGGATAAGGCTGCCCCAAGTTAATCTCACATGACTTATCTCACCGGGTACCCATTTTCTGCTGGGTGTGATTATTATTACCCCGGATAGGCTGCCTGTTAAGCGCTAGAATAGTCACATGACTTATCTCACCGGGTACCCATTTTCTGCTGGGTGTGATTATTATTACCCCGGATAACCCAAGCTGCCTGTTAAGCACTAGAAGGTTAATAGTCACATGACTTATCTCACCGGGTACCCATTTTCTGCTGGGTGTGATTATTTTACCCCGGATAACCCAGGCGCTGGTTAATAGTCACATGATTATTACCCCTGTGTGATGATATTAACCCAGGCTGTCTGTTAGGCACTAGAAGGTTAATAGTCACATGACTTATCTCACCGGGTACCCATTTTCTGCTGGGTTAACAGAGGCAATTTTGAACAAACTCACTTGCCTAAGGTGAAACCACATGCATCACATGTGCTTCGTTGTGGGGCAGGACTGTAGTCCTAGAAACACTCAGGAGTCAAGCCGCCAAACACGGTCACCCATCGAACAGCTCTCCACGCTCGACCTTGCTTAACTTCAACTGATTTGTGACATGAGCTCTTCGCACAGGACCACACATCACCACATCACACCATATATATCTCCTTGTTTACTCGGTATAATCAAAACGATAACATGTACAAACAAACTCACTGCTGATTTTCCGGGTTATAACAGCAGGTGTGAGTGTAGTTTTACAGGTTACAGTAGCCTGGTGGCTGTGTAGTTTGACACTATCGAGATATAAGATCTGTATGTTCTTGTTCCAGGTGTAAGCAGCCACATCCCCCAGCATCAGGAGACCGTCATCTTCAACTTCACGCAGAGCGCAGACCATTAAATCTACAGTCTGTATGAACCTGTGATAAATATTCAAGAGAGTTGGGACATTTTCAGTCCCAAGATCACATACACGTTTTTTTTCAACACTTTTTAAAACAATATACAACCACCTATGTACAATGGATTATATTTTTACAATATACAATAAAAGTTTCCTTCATTTAAAGGCGCACAACCACGTGGTTATTGTTGTTAATTATATATCCACTGCCAGCCATTGTTGCTGATTACCCTTAAAGCCATGTCTGTATGCAGAGGGGCCGTGGGGTAGCCAAGTGGTTAAAGCGTTCGCTCGTCACGCCAAAGACCCGGGTTCGAGTTCCCACATGGGTGCAATGTCTGAAGCCCTTTACTAGTGTCCCCGGACGTGATATTGCTGGAATATTGCTGAAAGCGGCGTAAAACCAAACTCACTCACTCTGTATGCGGATCCTTGTACTAGTCGCTATAATGCTGGTTAGATAGTGATGGCACATTGAGATACAATGCTGTAGTTTTAACATGCACCACAGATACAGTATTTTGACTCCGTGCCAACCTGTCCTCGTGTTATCCCCTCCATGCCAGGGGAACAACAAGTACCACCGTCTAACGGGTTTTGCTTATGACGCGGCCGGGATCGAACCCCGGCCTTTTGCCCTCTGGACAGACACTCTCTCCACTATACCACGGAGGTGTACCAACACAATAAAATCACACGAATGTTTACCTGCAAGAAACGAACCTTTGTGTGACTTGATCATGGTGCGTTAAAACTGAATTCTGGGCGGTGTGGTAGCCTAGTGGTTAATGCGTTCGCTCGTCACGACGAAGACCCCGGTTCGATTCCCCACATGGGTACAATGTGTGAAGACCATCTCTTGTATCCCCCAACGTGATATTGCTGGAATATTGCTAAAAGTGGCGTAAAACTAAATTCACTCACTCACTCACTCAATCAATCAATCAACAATCAAACTGAAGTTTATTATGGTAACTCGTTTAAGTGGCATGAACCGGGACGTATTGCCGCTAGCCCCTATATGGAAGGTGATAACATTACCCAAGAAATAACCATAGCCTGCGGTATATCTAAACAATAGTCTTCAAAAGAGTCATATCATATAACTACACGAACAAACAAAAGATCGTGAGGTGAAATTGGGTTTAACGTCGTGCTTGAGAATATTTCGCTCATATGACGACGTGCATGCATGCGTGTGTATGTGTACGTGCGGCTGCTTGTACTAGCCCGGACTTAAGCTGGTTTTATCGTGCTAGCCCACTGAGATACCATGCCGCAGTGAAGCATGAATAACCCACTCAGACACATTATACTGACTCCGAGCCGACCAGTCCTTGTTACACCCATTAATGCCGAGCGCCAGGCAGGGACCAACAAGTACCATATTTTAACGTCTTTTGGTATGACGCGGTCGGGGATCGAACCCGCGACCTTCCGCTCTCCGGGCGGATGCTCTAACCACTACACCACGGAGGCGATCAACAAACAAAATAGATCAAACTTGGCTCTATATATTTCTCGTAAGTCCGTGAATTCCAAATTAGCTTATACGTTTATGGCCCCTACTTGTATAAATGATGTCCCTTCTTTAAAAGCAGTGAGGGAGTGAGTTTAAATTTACGACGCTCTCAGCAATATTCCAGCTATATTCCATTCTGTAAATAATCCAGTCTGGACAGAACGATCCAGGGACTCTTTAAAAGCAAGTGGGCTTGACTCAATGTACGCCAGTTTTGCTGTTGTTAGTGGCATTTCGTGTGTCAATTCCACCAGTTCAGAGACTATTCCTGACGTAGGGATACGAACCTGTTGTGAAACAGGAGTCTGGACACTTCATCCCGATTCGTTTCTTGCACTCGTTGCGATCGAATCCCTTGGCTCCCATTAGTATATAGACAAAACATTTACCAAAGGGAGGCAACTCCCAAAATTTGTTTCCATTGCATCGAGTTGTCGTGAGAGCGCCCTGCCAGGATACCGAGACGAATTCACACGACACGGATAACAACGCTTGTGGGAATTGTATAAGAAAGGTACTATGTGAAATTAACCATACATTTTGTTTCATATGTTCTTGATATGACTGTGGATGATTCGCGATTTGGAAAAGCATTAGGTCAAGATGGTTTGCTGGAAGTAAACTGAAAGGGGGATCAGTTTTGTCATGTTTCAATAGACTATCAGCTATCAGTTGACAATCACTTAATTCCACCTGTCTGGAAATCTTCAAAACATTCTGTACCGAAAACAAGAACTCACTAAACGACTTAACCAGATGCTTGGACATTGTGTGCTCGCGATTAGGTGCCGGACTCGGAGGATGTGGGTTCGAATCCCGGATGGGACTCAATCCAACAAAAGTACTAGAATCTGTACTTTACAAAGAAAGTGTAATCCCAAATATAACATATGTTACAAATGGACATTTGGTTGCTTCAAAACAAAACAAAAAAAATCTGAAGGGAGGAACCGGACTTTTAAACAACGCATCTTTTTTCGATGTACCCAGTATGTCATACAAACAACTTTTCAGGGGAGCAACATCTTAAACAAATTCACGCAGACAGATTTTCAAATTATGGGTCCCTAGATCAAAGTGCTTATCTTAATCTTGACTATAACTGTTGAGGGATTTATTATCCACAGCTGCTTTGTATTGCTTTGCTTACTCCAGAAAGAAAAACTCGGGGTCCAAAAAACATATTACTGGTGATATATATTTGTATTCAGAAACGTTTTACCCATAAATCAGCCGCAGAAATGTCGGAAAGTTATCGTAAATACTCCAGGTACGACGGTAAACACTTCATGAAAATTTCATGTTGTATATTTTATAAAACAGAGGTGTGCGAAGGTATTGAATGGAGAATATGGGGTTTAGCTATTCTTTGGAGATTTTGTTCAATAATCAAAATAATGTTATGATAGCCCATATTGACTTTGCCAATCTAGTTGCAAATGATGCGGTTATCTACCCGCTGATCATAATATCATGGATCATACTATCGACAGAGCTATGTTACAGTACAGGTTCGTGTCACATATGTGATTGTTAGGAGAACCTTGTCGCATGAATCAAGGCCCGTCTATGTTTAATTTGATTTTTTATATGCTCCCATTGTCTTCATTCTGAGTGGTTTACATGTATCTAAACATATACAAAATCCAGCGTATGCATTAGTGCATAATGAACATCATTCGTCAGGAATTTCTCCAGAAATGTTTCTTCATTACGAGAACACATTTGATTTATGCTTAGGTTACAATATGTTCCCGGCGACCAAGTTTCGCCGAAACGTCGTGAAACGGGGACAAAACGAAATGGACGTGAGACAATGTAGGGGAACTGAACGAGCAAACGTGACAGTCCGTGATTGCCGTGGATGCCAAGCCAGATTTTTTAAACCTTTTCAAAAATTGGCCACGGCAGTCACGGTACTAATGAGAAACCTAGTTGGTCGTAGTAAAACGGGGGGAACGCAACAAAACGTGACAGCACGTAATAGGCCGTTACAAAACTTGTAAACGGTCCGTATCGGGTCCGTAGTGGGACAGGAGGCATGTGTATGCCCCGGCATCTCACGGTCCTTTCAAGTTTTGTCACGATTGTTTCACCATTGCTGCCCGTTTTGTCCCGATTCTCACGGCAAGCTAGGTTGTATGGAAGCCGGTTCGTCCCGTTCTATCACGACGTATCCATGCGTGTGGCGGTTTAAAGGGCCCGCGAGATACGCACCCCGTTTATCCCAACGGCCCATCACTGATACCGTGATAGCATAACTTAGCAAAACTTGACTTTGGAGGGCAAAAATGGCCAAAATCCCACGGCGCACTACGTTTCGGTGAAATAGGGCTGTCGTAGCCGCCACAACATAGTGTAACCCTAGCATCAATAACTACTGGTTTTAGATTTTACATTTCCCGGTTCATACTGACAGTAACTGCAGTATGATGGCTGAAGGAGCGGTGCGGTGCGATAAGGTGCGGTGAGGCTCGGTGCGGTGCGGTGCGATAAGGTGAGGTGAGGCTCGGTGCGGTGCGGTGCCGTGCGGTGAGGTGAGGTGGGGTGCGGTGCGGCGCGGTGCCGTGCAATTGACCATTTAGCAACGCATGTTAAACAGCGATTTTACTCTCTGATGATGTGATAATGTTGTGATAAGGTTTCGCACAGCACGAGACTATACCCATTCGTGATGCTGAGGGTCTAAACTGCCTCCTTGAAATAGTACAACTTTGTATGCAGCAACACCATGTCTACCACCTGTGCAGTCCTCAACAATTAATCTACATTGTTGTTCCCACACGCGCCCCCACCAGGCCACAGTTACAGTTACTTGAAACCCCAGAACACCGGATGGATTCGCATTCGATCTCTAAATCGTTGATGACACATAGAAACCAGGTGTTAAAGGTGTGGAACACCAAAGGCCAAGAGAACAGAATTGGCGAATGGTGTAAACTACAGTGCTGATTTTCATGATATCGCCACGAACTACGATACCCCTCCTTTACGTCCTCCCGCCATCGTCGCAGCCCAACTCACTCACTTACTTATAACAACATCATCCAACAAATAAAGCAAACTATCGTTGAATTCGTGTCTTGCCGGTCTCAGTCCCGTCGTGACACAGTTACTTCGCCGAATTAGTCACTATGACTGATACAGTGGGAAATTCAAATCTAGATTTTAAAAAAAAGAGGAATATATTTTCAAAATATATGTTTTGTAGGCTTTCTGCATCCATACATTTTACCGTGGGTCTTCACAACATACTTCTTTACACTATGGCCTAATGTAATCATGAACGGGTAAGACAAGTTTGTGATATTTCACGGAGTGTATATGAATACTGCATTGCTTCGCATCGAAAGACAGCTTTGACAAGGCAAGGAGGCCACACCCCATCTGTGTATAGGACTGAAGCCCGGCCTTTAACCTAGCGTAACAGAAGTGACAGAAAAAATGAGACACAAGTTTGCTATAGCCATGCTTAACCGAAATAAGAAACACCCATCGTGATTGACAAACACGTCTCCTGACCAAACCAGTCCAAACCAGTCTCATCCAGTTCAGGGCACATGTCAGAACTGCAGCACGTGCATGGCGATTAATCACACTGAGAAATATGTTGTTTGGTAGGCAATATATTATATGATTAACAGATCGAAGG